TGTTTTCAGTCCTTCTTGCTGATGCTATTTGTTCTTTCATGTTGTTTACGTTGGAGTATTTTGCCCTTGGCCCGATCTGTATGGTGTGCTGCTACTTTTTGATGCTGTTAGTATGCCCTCTTCATAGTCCTTTCCAGTTTTTTTAAAAAACAAGTCACATTGAATTCAATGGATAATGATCTTCCTTCACCCACTCATATTATGAAATCAGTACAAACACAAGTAGTTCATCTAATTTGCTTTTTGATGGCCATTATGGCACAACGTAGACTTACCATCACAAATCGTTCTAATTTACCTACTAAACAAGAAATTTTAAAAAAGAAATTTTAAATTGTCGACGTGTACGAGAAGAGTTGTTACGTAACCTTTCAAATGGTGGTAAATGTCGTGAGATTATCCGTATGAGTGAGCAAGCTTTTAAGAAGTTATGCATTATCTTACAAAGTGATGGTGGTCTTCGACCTACTCAACGCATGTCCGTTGAAGAGCATGTTGCAAGATTTTTGCACATTGTAGGTAACGACTTGAGAAATACATTTGTCTCTTGGATGTATCGTCACTCTAAATCCACAATGAGTAGGTGCTTCCATAGAGTTTTACGTGCGGTTATATCATTAGAAAGTCTCTATATTCAACAACCAAAAGGTGATGTTGTCCCTAAAGAAATTCAAGAGAAAAAGAAATTTTTTCCTTACTTCAAAAACTTTATAGGGGCAATTGATGGTACACATGTTCGTGTCAAAGTACCATATAAAGATGCCCCTTGATACCGTGGTCGCAAGGGATACCCAACGATAAATGTCTTAGCTGCTTGTTCATTTGATTTAAAGTTGACGTATTTTTTAACCGGTTGGGAGAATAGTGCATCAAACTCACGGATACTGAAGAATGAACTCAACAGAGATGATAAACTAGTAATTCCAAATAGTAATTTGTAATACCAACTTTCATTTTATGTTAAAATTATTACTAAAAAACTAATTACACTTTAATTATAGGCCGCTATTGTTTAGTAGAAGCGGATTTTCCTCATAGAAGTACACTAATGAAGCCATATAAAGGTGTCATGTATCATTTAAAAGAATATTCCGTTCGGGTCCTACAAAATGCTAGAGAGTTGTTCAATCTTCGCCACACTTCATTACGTAATGCTATAGAAAGGGCATTTGGTGTTCTAAAAAGAAGGTTCCCTATCATCAGAAGTACACAAGAACCTTTTTATTCTTGTGAAACACAATCAGACATTTATTTGGCATGTTGTATTTTACATAACTTTTTGATGGTCGAAGATCGTGACAAAGATCTTGAAGATGAGGTATTACAAGAGTTGTTAAGTGCACCAATGGAGGAAGTGAGACATAATTCAAGTGATGCATGTGAGGGTAACAGCATGACAGAACAACTGAGGAACTCAATTGCAAGTCAAATGTGAACTAATTACTTATTGAGTCCAAACAATGAAATAAATATGTCAACATAGTTTAAGATTATTTTGTTATAGTACTTTATTTGCAATTTGGTTTTTTATTTAACAATGTTATGTGGATTTATTTGTGTTACTTAGTTTTTTTTAATGTTATTTTTTATAACTTGTAGACTTTATAACTATGTTATTTTTATAATAATGTATGGTTCTCTTTTTGTTATGTAGATACAGATAATGAACAAGCAAGAACCTTTTGTAAATGTCGGTAAGAAATATTTCCTGAACTGGACAAATAAGATGGATGATGCTTTATTGACGCAATGATAGACCAACAAGAAAAGGGATATAGGATTCATGGAAATTTTACTACATAAGCATACATGAATATGGTTGAGGAGCTCAATAAAAAACTTAACATGAACTTAACTAAAAGTAAGCTAAAAATTGTTTAAAAACTGCTTTTTCTTAATCGTATGATATGTTTCATGGAATTTCCTTCGGTGGGTTCGGTTGGAATGCCCAAACCCAACTAACTGAAGCAGATGATCAAGTGTGCGATAACTTAATTAAGGTTCTTGTTCATCTTATGTTGTATGTAGTTTTGTTTTTTTAAATAAAATTATGTTGTTATTACATTTTTAATTGGATCTGGGTTTTATAAACATGCAAAGCCTGAAGCAGATATATTGAAGAAAAAAAAGGTGCCCAACTTCGATAAAATGTTGGGATTATTTGCTAGAGATAGAGCTTCAGGAGAAAATGGAGAAAATGCTGAAACAACTTAGGAGAAAAATGCCCGACTGAGCAAGACCGCAAACATCAAAGTAGAAAGTGTCGTAGAAGTTAATGATTTATTGGCAAGTAATGATGTTACACTGGAGAACCACCATGTATATGATGATGAAGATGACATTCAAGTTGTATCTCCTACATGCTTTTCACCTGAACAAAATTCAAGTGCAAAAAAGTGCAAAACTAAAAAAGAAAATTTGTAGATGAAATAGAAGATGAAGTTGAACTTGAACCTGAATCGGAAACATTTGAAACAAAGATTATGAATGATGTTGCCGATGTGGCTAATGCTACGAGGGAAGGCAACAAACTTATTGAAAGAGCTTACCATCACAAGTTAACCAGTGATGAAATTTATCAAAAATTGCAGCCGATGAGTTTGGAACCCCACGAAATACAAAGTGCTCTCATGTATTTGGCTTGTAACCAAGCACATGCGAAGACATTGTTTACTTGTCCAATAAACTTACAAATGATCTACTAAAAACAATGATGAGTGCAGTTAAATGAGTGAATTGAGATAATAGGTGTTGATTTCTTGTTTCTATGTTGGATTTATTTTTGGCTTTACGAATTGAATTCTAGTTTTGGAGTTTTAGTATGATTAAATTGCATTGTTTTGGACACTTTTTAAAGTTTGGTTGAATATTATATGTCGGTGGGTTTTGACTAAATATGTTTGTATGTGTGTAAATGAACATTCTTATCCAAATTGCTAAAAAAATGGGTAAAATTGTAATGTTGTTTTGCTTTCTTTTCTTTAGTCTTCCTTCCAAATCGGGAACATGTTTTTTTTTTTTTTTTTTTTTTTTTTTTTTCATTTCCTTCGAACTCTGGAATACGAAAAAATAATTCATTTCCTTCTCCTCCTTTTTTTTTTTCTCTTCATATTTTTCTTCCCTCTCTTTTCTTTCCGTTAGGCAAACTCGGGAAGATCATTGGTTTTCCTTAGATGAAAAATAAGAAGATTTCGTAGGTTTTATTCTTGGGTTTAGCCCATGAGAAAAATCTTTTCTTGTTGCCCACACGTATAAGTTATTATTTTTCATTTACCAAAAGAATAAAAGAGAAAAAATAGAGAAAGTAATGAACATTCGTACTATTATCATTTTTTAATTAGTTTTT